TGGGAGGACACGGAGGAGCCACAGCCTCGGGTGGGTCCCAGGGGGCCACCCAGGTTCTGCTGCCCCCCACCTGCAGGGGTCCTGCCCTCCCTCCCCAGCCCTACATCTGCCCCCCGGGCACACCTCACCCCATGTGTGGCCGTGGGGCAGGTGGTGGCTAAGGTTGTGGGGCACCATGGGGTAGGATTACGTTATGGGGCACCATGGGTAACATTGCTGCATTGCACCGTGGGGCACGCTGGCTCGTGTGGGGATCAGTCACCTTGTGTGAGATCCATCCATCCAGCGGATGCCATACTGTGGGGCCATTGCCATCACACCATGGTCAACCCAAACCACGCGCACACAGCCACACAGCAGCCGCTACTGGGCAATGGGTTTTTATTGGCTCACCAAATTTGGGGGGTTAGGTGGGGATGGTTGAGGGGCACTTGGGGGTTCAGGGAGAGGGTTGGAGGTCCAGAGCTTCACTCCTTGTTGACCCCCTTCTGATGGAGAAAAAGAGGGAGGTGGTGCAGCCGTGGGGCAGTCATGGGATAGGGGAAGGTCCCACCTTGGCTCCTATGTTGCAGCTCTTGGTGTGCAACCTGTTGACCTGGGACTCAGACATGTCAGTATATCCTCCACCTCCTCCAGCTCCTACTGAGCCTTGCAGAACTTGACCAGTTTCGTGTTGGCCTGTTTCTCCTGGGGGGGGCAGGAGAGGTCAGAGGTGATCCCCACCCCAGCTGTCCCACCTTCCAGCTGTCCATCCATCCCTTCTGTCCATCTCTCCGCCCTTCTTCTTGTTCCATCTCTCCCACCAGCCATCCATCTCTCTTGACCCCTCCTCTGCCTCCTTCCCCCCTCCCCCAACCCTTTGACCACCTCACCTCAAGGTCCATCAAGGGACAGTGGGAGGTGATCAACCATGGTCTAGGTCACATTATGGTGCTGCACATGGGAGAAGGACAATTGGCCACCACCACTTCTAACCACCAACTGGCCGATGGTGCCTGGCCAGCCCACC